TATTGATTCTATGGTCTGCAGTTCATAATGGCTTCCAGAACATTTTCAAATACAAGTGACATTCATGGAAGCCTTAGTAATGACATCACTTTACTTTTTTTTTTTCCTTTGCATTCTTATTTTAATTTTACCACAACCTTGTGCAGTAAGGCTAGGCAGACATGACTATCCTATCTGACAGGTGAGAGTTTCATTTTTGAAGTCATTGAACTAAATTGGGATTCTTAAGAGGCAGTCATTGAATTTGTATAGGTAGAGTCTGAATGTATTACATGGCCTGTGGAATACTGTAGTTCTCTTGGACTGACTTTTTAGTTGATATAGTAGTAAAAAGGGAATTCTTCTATTCCATGGCTTAAGGATACACAAACTCTCAATGCAGCAATCTTTTTATTGTTGATTATTATAGCTTCTATTACTCCTAGAAGTTGACCAACAGGGACCTGAGTTTAGGAGATTTTGTCATTCAGCTTTCATGTAATAAATGCTGAGGCCAGCCCTTTGCCTACAGGGCCCTCTATCAGTGAAGAGGAACTGTGACTTTTCTCCCGGCAGCCAAGTAGGGGGAGGAGTCGAGGTTTTCACTGTTCTCTGTGAAAATGAATTTGTGCTGTTGAACCTGAAGGGCACTAGATAGTATATTCTTCTTGAAGCACTGGAGAGACCCTTTGTTGCAACATTTCAATCTCTTTCTGATTCTTCCCTGTAGTAGAAAGCATGTTCAAGCATTTTTTAAAAATGTTGTGTGTGCTTCTCAAAAGCTAGTAAACTTATTCAATTGGATAACAAACTTCAGTTGTAATAAATTATTATAGTCTTCAACTTTCTTTGATTTTGCAAAGTAGAGTTAGTTGGAGTGAGGTCAAGTGGGAATGAGCTGACAAGACAGATATGTGCTGTGTAGACAGGATGAAGGCACATGTGTGATCCAAACTTTGTTGTAGCTTTTGAGATAGTGCAGGAGAAACATTTAAGGAATAGGTTATTCACAGTCCTTTAACAGTTAATAGAAGTTAAGTATTTAAATGTGAGAATACATTTGCTAGATTGCAGTTTAGTTTAGAACCTGCTTTTTTTTTAATTAAACATTTTTTTTTAAAGATTTTATTTATTTATTTGAGAGAGAGAGAGAGAGAGAAACAGCATGAGAGGGGATAGGGTCAGAGGGAGAAGCAGGCTCTCCGCCGAGCCGGGAGCCCGATGTGGGACTCGATCCCAGGACTCTGGGATCATGACCTGAGCCGAAGGCAGTCGCCCAACCAACTGAGCCACCCAGGCGCCCTAATTAAACATTTTTTAAGTGTAGAGAAAAAACCTTAGAAATTTAAATATTTTGCAGCCTAAACTTTAAGTAGAAAACGATTTGTGCTTTTCAGGTTTTTAAAGGTAAGTTTTAAAGGGGATTACATCTTAAACATGGGAGGACAGAAAAAGTCTTAGATCTTTGTCAGCAATTGATGAGTCAGGATGGCCCTGAAATATATAGAATATATAAGAATAGTAACCAAAATGACACTCCTTTCCACCCTGTTACTTCTTGCCCAAATTTCTTTTGATTTTCCCCTTCCTTTAGAAAATGCTCCTAAATGTATAGAAGGGAAGGAGGTAGAGTAGAAGTTACAGCCTATTCCATTAATTTTGTGATTATATTTTTTTCTCAGTGTTTTTAAGTGGCATTTACCAGTATGGGTAAGATTAATTGTTACAATACAAACCAATTTGAAAATTGGTTTTTAAATTGAGCTATAATATATAAAATCTTATGATAATGTGCAGATATGACTATATGCAAGTGCAGTTTTCATACCCACACCAATTGTCTTGTAATAATCGAAAATGCATCCTCTGTGTGGTGTTTGCAAGTTAATGCTATTTTAGAAATCATACCAATATATCCAGTGGCTTTCCTGGGTGTTTGTGGCTCATTATTGATTATAATTTTATTTTGAAATTTTAGTTTAAGGGGATAGGGTAAGTCCTTTCAAATTCCTAGGAGTTTGGTGGAGGAAAGGAATAAATGAGTAAGGAAGAGCATTAAAATGACTAATAGTAAAGAAAGTCATAATAATTAATCAAGGACATACTGCAACAATAACACAGGATCTAATATAGAATGAAGGAGATGAAACATTTCAAAGAGGAATGCCATAAAAACTTACCAAGGAGTGTTCACAAATATGCATATTTAATATAAAGAAAGAGATCCTGTAGGTGGCTTCAGTATGGCTAAAAGTGCATGAGCCATCATCTACCTCTTCTGAAGGGAAGGGGAGAAGTGAAGCTGTCTTCCAGTGCCTGCTGCTTTTTCTTTCTACCATTCCCTTTTTCCTCTTCTTTTTTTTCATTCTCTCTTTTTATTTATTTTCACTTTTTCTCAATCTACTACTTTTCTGAAATTCAGTCCCACCTTCAGAATGAGACTTTCTTATGCTTGGCATCCACAGAACTTTAACCAACTGCTTAATAATATGCAGTGTCTCTCATTAACCATGAGAGAAACTCACTAACAACAAGTTGTTGTGTTTTTTTACATTAACGATTTTAAACATAGAAGAATTTAAGTTTGAGAGAATGTCACTAGAATGGATTTTTATCTCTCGTTCATTGTTCTGTCCCTCATGCCTAGAACAGTACAAGGAAAATGTATATATACATATAAATAAATAAATACTTGTTGGATGAATGACTAAAAACATTAGACTTAGACATTTTTAACATCATTTACTTATAAAAATTATTTTAGTGAAGAACTTGATGCTTCCAGTGTACAGCAGTAATAGGAGAACAGTGATTCTTAAGGAAAAACTTTTTTGTCCTGCTCTCCCTTTTTCTTCTCCTTGTTGCCTTCTGACAACATGAGAATCTCTCTTCCTGAGAACTGGATAAGACTGAAATCAGTATAAAAAGTTCTAAGGAAAGTTGGAGTAAATGAGAGATGTACATTGGCAGGGTGAAAGGGAGAAGGAAATTACAAGTTCACAGGATGGGACTAAGATGGGTATTTGAACAAAACATCAAGTTAGTTATTAGCTAGAGAGCCAGGGCCAATTGGAAGGACAGAGAAGGTGAGTTAATGTAGGCGGTTGGGAAAGATCAGATCAATAGAGTGCTTGGATTTCATACAATAGATAAAGGGAGCCATTATGAATTATTGGTGAGAGTGACGTGATAGTAAGGTGAACACAGTTATTCTATTTAGCTGCTGTTCGTAAAATGAATTATAGCTTGAGGTGAAGAAATATTGGAAACAGTGAACAAAGTTAGGAGATTGTTTTAATAGTTCAAAGCAGTGTAGCTGTTGTGGTTGGTGTGTTATCCAGTGATGTCTTTAGCAAATACCCTTCTTTGAAGTCTGATGTCTCCACATGACCTAGGGATGGATGGAGGCAGGAAGAAGAGTTCTGTACTTAAGAAGCAATAGGCCAGCATTCCAGTTCCTACTTCTCTACATTCTGAATTCATGATCATGAATAAAAACTTTGATTTTTCTTGGGCATTAGTCACCTTAACTATAAAATGAGAAAATAATGACCTCAAAGCAGGATCTAGACAAAAATCTTTATTTTTTTGGAGTCCTTTGTAGCACACTATTCTTTTTTTTTTTTTTTTTAAAGATTTTATTTATTTATCTGAGAGAATGGGAGACAGAGAGCATGAGAGGGGAAGGGTTAGAGGGGGAAGCAGACCCCCTGCCGAGCAGGGAGCCCGATGTGGGACTCGATCCCAGGACTCCAGAATCATGACCTGAGCCGAAGGCAGTTGCTTAACCAACTGAGCCACCCAGGCTCCCGTAGCACACTATTCTTACATCAGTTATAGAGAGTGTGACCAATAGATACCATATTTTGTTTCCTAATACTAATTTCTATAACTAGAATATTTTAAGAATAAAAAGTCCCATGATGATATTCAATACTTTAAGACTTAAAATTTCCAGTTTAATACTATGTGTATTCACTGCTATATTTTAAAATATGTATTGCTGTTTTTATATGTGCTATGATCAGGTATTTAGTTTTTTTAGTACTGTTAGATTGTTGATGGACCAAACCTCAGCCTGGGATACATTTAGAGAAACTTGAAGAATGTAAAAATTCTTCTAAAAGATACAGTGTTTTATAAGACTATGGAAGCAATAACACTAATACTATTTAATTAGTATTACTAGAAATCATCATTTCTACCCTTTTTGCTACTGAATACATTATATGTATTTTTATACTCACACATACCTTTTTATTTAGAAGATTTTAATACCAGCAACTTTTTTGGGTTCTTTTTCTCTTTCTCTTTTTCTGTCCTTGTCTCTCTTTCTTTCATTGTTGTTGTTTTCCCTTCTGTTTGGGTTGTCCTCCCCCCACCCCACCCCCCAATCCATCTGGAAAGATGGAAGAGGCAGCTGCTATGGTAACTATGCATTTTGGTTAATGAATAGCAGACTGACAAGATACATAAAACATACGCAAACCGTGCAGAGTTGGCTGCTGTCAAAGCTGTGGGGGTATAATACTTTCTCTTTTCCTTCTCCCCACCTTCTAAAAAAAAAAAAAACAACTTTCCTGTTGTATTTTGTTTTCTAATTTACCATTCCTAATAAGGAAATTACCATGAAGTGTTCTTTTTCTGTTTAGTCTTTACAGTATTTCACCCTGTGGTGGATTCATGGGAGATGAGGTGCACAGAGGAAAAGAATTGATTAGTTGGATTAAGAAGTAGATTTCCTTTAGACTCATACATAAAAGAACAGAGACAAAAATTTTTTACTATTTGTTTTTTTTACCTATAACCTCCTTTCTTTCCGCTTGCCTTTTGGCCACTAGTGCCCCTTTCAAGGTTCTCTCCGGGGTTAGAAATAGTAAGTAGTATGTTTCTTGAATATGTTTCTGTCATAAAGGCCAGCTGCAACTGGAATATTGCATTCAGTCAAGCCTTGAAAATTCCTGTAATCTGTGCCATCCTGTCTCATACTGTCCCATCTCATAGTTGTCCTCTCTCTGCAGTGCTCTATGCCCAGGTCTCTGTGGCTGGGCTGCTCCAGCCTGGCGGACAGCATGCCTTCGCTGCGATGCCTGTATAACCCAGGGACTGGCGCACTCACAGCTTTCCAGGTACTTTCTCTGTCTCTGTGGGTTATTTGCGGGCATTAGTGTGTGTGTCTGATTTCATTCGTGTGTCCTCCTTCTTTCCTATGCTCTACTTATGTTCACTTTCTCTCCTTCATATTGCCTGTATTTCACATCACTCAGTACTCCTTTAACGATTCATTTTTAATGTAGACCCAGACTGATCCACTCTTAAGACATTTTTATTACTGTGATTGGTTTGCCAGAATTGATACAGCACAAGTTGACTGTTGGTTTTCATATCTAGTACAAGTATGATAGTGAATTTTAAAGTAATTTCAACCAATAGCATTTATTATGTAATGTTTGCTCTGGACTTACATAAAGCCAATTAATGTAATTAATTAATTACAACCAGTTGCCTTGACACCTTCTTGTGTTTTTCTTATGATTATTAAAAATAAAAAGTACTCTAATTCAGAGTGTCTCCTGGTTATTATACTCCTCTATATATTTTGGGGTAAGATCTGCATTTAATTATCTCTTAATTAACAGGTCTAGTTTCAAGGTGGAAAGGCCTTTTAAGACCTTGAGTACAATATTCAGCTTGAAACAGTCCAGCTGGTCTTGCATGAACTGACAGATTCTAGTTCCTTTAGCCTTTCTTAGAGGCTATTAGGACAATCTAGGCTGTGAGAGAAATCTATAGAGAGAATGGAACATTTGTAGAGAAACATGTAAGAAAGAGCTTGATGTCCATATCTTACAGATTAGGGTACTATATATGGTGATTTTCTTGGCAGAAATGTTATCTGTTCACCTCAGGTATTTGCAGTTTGTGTTTCACATTTAATAGTAATACACAAGTTAGCTTTTTGTTTGTTTTTAACCTATGTAGTTTTTACTCTATTTAGAAGAATTTCAAATGCAAGCTGTAAGCAAGCATCAGAATGCTTATGACTAAAGTCTTAGTTAAAAGAGAGGAAGTTAAGTATTCTCCATTCCTGAACTGTGCTAACAATTGCTGGTCCTTAATGATACTGTTTTAGTGGTGATAATGCTAGATATTTCTATATGTCCTTTGTAAAACATAATATTAAATTTCCTTTGCTTGTCTTAGGAGATTCAATATATGAAAGTGCATAGGCTTCTAACATTAGTTAAATCACAGCTTACATACTGTCTTTGTCACTAGTATGATCTTGAGCAAGTCATTTCACTCTCATCCTTATGTTCCCCATTTGTACATGGGGACTACAGTAAAGGCATGCAGTAAATGGCTGCTGTTGTTACCATCTTCATCATCATTAATATTATTGCTGTTGTTGTTAGAGAATAGTGCTATCCTGACAGTATCAATTTATTTCAAGTATTTAAACTTTTGCTACATGTCATATTGATAAAGTTTCTGCTGTTGAGGAGCTCATGGACTAACCTGTGGGTTTTAATCTTTTGGACATTGTAATAAGTTTAGCCAAACTACAAAGTCTAAGAGAATAGTCACTGGAAGACCGCCCGCATTTCAGACACCAGTTGCAAGTCTAGGAGCCCCCATGACCACATTCATGTTTGATAATTCACTAGAAAGGACTCACAGAACTCACTGAAAGCTATTGTACGTACAATTTAGTACAGGGCAAGAATGCAGGTTAAAATTAGCCACAAGCAAGAGACACATGGGCAGATTCTCAAGGGGACCAAACTTAGAACTTCATCATCTCCCCATGGATTCATGACCTGGCCATAGTATATGACAGTATACACAAGGTATTGCCAACGAGGGGAATTTACCCAAGTCTTTTGTGTCTAGAATTTTGGGGGGACCCAATTACAAACTGCTTGCATGGCTGACTGTTAGTATCTAGCCCCTTCTGTAGGTCACACTAATGCTTTCAGTCTCCATTTCCTCTCAGGATTGGAACTGATAAAGTATGGCTCAAAGCCTCCACTGTAAGTCACATTTGTCCAGTGGCCAAAATCCTCAGGCAAAGAAAGACACCCTCTTAGGTAAAGAAGTTCCCGAGGCCTAGATACCACCTCCCAGTAGCCAAAGGCAGAGGCCAGACCTATCGCTGGGTAAGGTTAGTTCTTCACTACACAGGGGTCATGGACTCCTTTGAGAATTTGAAGAGAACTATTGATCTTAGAAAAATGCATATGACGCATAGGCAAATGGTTATATGTATAATTATTATATTTCTATTAAATCACATAACCCCCAGAGTATAAACTCCCAAACTGAAAAATCCTATGAGAGAAATGTGCAGAGAGCCATAAGAATATATAAATGAGGAACGTGATCTAATCCGAGGGTGAGGGTAAGGAAGATCAGGTAATGTTTGAGTTAAGGTCTTGAGGATGAGTAGGAATTAACTAGGCAAAAGGGAGGAGGGGGAAACATTTCAGGCCTAAGGAAGAGGCAATGCGAAGACCCTGGGGACAGGTGGAGCTTGGTGCATTTAAGGACTCTACTGAAAAAAGACTATTATTTCAGAGAAGGAGGAGAATGGAGCTAGGAAAGACTGGGAAGCTTGATCATGCAGAAATGATTTGTGGGTCATCTTAGCCTTGATGCTAAGAAGAACAGTAAGCTGTTGAAAGGACTTAAATACAAGTTTGGCCTGATCAGATTTGCATTAATTTTTCTTATTATTGGTAAAGATTTTTTTATTTATTTATTTATTAGAGAGAGAGAGAGAGAGAGAGAGCATACACATGAGTGGAGGTGGGAGGGGCAGAGGGAGAGGGAGAAGCAGACTCCCCCATGATGCGGGGCTCCATCCCAGGACCCCGAGGTCATGACATGAGCAGAAGGTAGATGCTTAACTGACTGAGCCACCCAGGCACCCCCAGATTTGCATTTAGATGTATTACTCTAGCTATTTTTTTTTTTTTTTAGTTTTTTTTTTAAAGATTTTATTTATTTTTTTGATAGAGACATAGCGAGAGCAGGAACACAAGCAGGGGGAGTGGGAGAGGGAGAAGCAGGTTTCCCGCAGAGCAGGGAGCCCAATGTGGGACTCGATCCCAGGACCCTGGGATCATGACCTGAGCCGAAGGCAGACGCTTAACGACTGAGCCACCCAGGCACCCTACTCTAGCTATTTTAAGGACAATTTTAGTAATTGAAGAGAGAGATGGTGGCAGTTTGGTTTTGGTCTGGTACTCCTTTGCATTCTTAAAAATTATTGAGGACACCAAAGTGCTTTTATTTATATGGGTTATATCTATTGATATTTACTATTTGAAATTAGAACTGAGGAAAAATTTAAGTATTAATTTATTACTTCATTTAAAGTAACTATAATAAACCCATTCTGGGGCGCCTGGGTGGCTCAGTTGGTTAAGTGCCTTCCGCTCAGGTTGTGATCCCAGGGTCCTGGGATCAAGTCCTGCATCAGACTCCTTGCTTCACGGGGAGCCTGCTTCTCTCTCTGCCTCTGCCTTTCTCTTTCTCTCTCTGTCTCTCATGAATAAATGAATAAAATCTTTTTTTAAAAAAAGCCCTATCACATGCTAATACAAATAAAATATTTTAGGGCACCTGGGTGGCTCAGTTGGTTAAGCATCTGCCTTTGGCTCAGGTCATGATCCCAGAGTCCTGGGATCCAGTCCCACATCGGGCTCTCTGCTCAGTGGGGAGTCTGCTTCTCCTTCTCACTCTCCCTCTTTCTCATATAAATAAATAAATTCTTTTTTTTTTTTTTAAAGATTTTATTTATTCATTTATTTGAGAGAGTGAGAGAGAGAGCACATGAGAGGGGGAAGGTCAGAGGGAGAAGCAGACTCCCTGCCGAGCAGGGAGCCTGATGTGGGACTCGATCCTGGGACTCCAGGATCATGACCTGAGCCGAAGGCAGTCGCTTAACCAACTGAGCCACCCAGGCGCCCTAAATAAATAAATTCTTAAAAAAAAACCTTACAAATAAAATATTTTATTAAAAATAACCTTTCTAAAAGAATTAAGACTAACATTGTATTACATTTTTTATAAATCTCTCTAATGTCTGGATTAATAAACGACAGCTGGATTCTCATTTCTGTTTCTGCATTCAATCTGTTGTGATGTAGTGTTTTGAATATATGGAGAATATCCAACCACACAGAAATGTAAGAGGTACTTAAATACCCTTTTCATTTAGTTGTAATTTCTTAAAGATTAGTTGCAGTATAGAATCTGAAACCATATCAATAAACTTTTTGTGCTCTGTTACATTAAAATGCATTGGTCTCAATCTTTTCAACAGATCATGTTGGAACAATTGGACATCTATGTGCAAAATAATGAACCTCAACTGTTACATAGCACCATATACAAAAACTAACTCAGATTGGATCATAGGCCTAATATGAGCTAAAATTACAAAACTAATAGGAAAAGATGAGGGAGAAAAAAATCATTGTGACTCTGGGTTCAGCAGACTGCAGTGAAAGGAACTTTCTCAGATTATGAAAATGTTCTATATCTTGAGAATGAGGTTACATAAATGTATAGATTTGTCAAACTCATCTGAGAGTACACTTTAGATCTGTGTATTTCACTGAGTGTAAATTTTACATTAACAAAAATCTAAATAGGTGAATAAAATTAAATCCAAACTAGAAAGATGTAAAAGTACTATGCAGTGACTATTCTGATTTGCCACCAAAGATTAGTTTTGTCTATTCTTCAACTTCATATAAATAAACTCATATAGCATAGATTCTTTTGTGTCTTTTTTCTTTTGATCAATATGTTTTTGAGATTTGTCCATTTAGTTATGTTTATCAGTAATTTATTCTTTTTTATTGCTGAATATGTTCCATTGTATTACTGTGCCACGATTTATCCATTTGTCTATTAATAGACATTTGGCTTGTTTCCATTTTTTTGACTACTATGAATAAAGCTACTCTGTACAGTTTGTACAAGTCCTTTTGTGGACATCTGTTTTTATTTCTCTTGGTAAATGCCTAAGAATGGAATTGCTGGGTCATAAAACAAAGTGTATTTTTAACTTAAAAAGAGACAATCAAATGGAAATAGTCAAGTGTCCCATCGACTG